AAAAATGGGTAGGCGGTAGTATGGGTGAGCATCACTAGGCTCTATCTGTTCACCCGATTTGGCCGGACTACATGTCTTATGATCTATAACTTATCATGTTTAAATGTGTTTCTATTCAATTTTGTATAGAATATTGATATATCTTTTGTCAAAAATATCATTAATTCACTAAATTTTTCATCATATATACAATATATATACATATATAATTTCATATATCAAATTATATATTCATAATAATAAGGAAAATATTCAGAAGACTTTGTCTAAAAAAAATATGCATTATATTTAAACAGGTTTAGGGTTGGGTTCGAAGATTGTCTCAGTCGATATTTGAGGTTGGATTAACTTCGAATAAGGGACAAGTAGGTAATAGGTCTAAATATGAAAGCAAATAAAATATTTGGTGTTTCTTAAGTGGTTTTTGTTCTTTATTGCTTGATCTTTTACTTTCCTCCTAACACTTCTAAGAATCAAATATTTTGATTTTTCTGAATATCTAATGTGTTACTTATTTTAAGGTTAAATTTATTGCTGTACGTGGTTTATGTGTGAATAAGTTAAAAGGAAAAAGCATGATACATGAGAGTTTGGTTCGTCACTTTGTCTTTTTTGTCCTTTATTTTGATGTATAGCCGTTTGTGTTGTTGACATTTTTTTTCCTGGTATTTCCTCACCGTAATCATAAATATTGTAATATTTGATTGAATGGAGAATCGGTAAATTGATCCCTGTTAAATAGAAAATTCATCTTAAATTATAGGGTAAATTAAGCTTATTTTAACACTAAAAGTAAACATAAAAATCATTCAATCCTATAGGGTCAAACCTCATTATAATGAGTACCACAACCAGGCTCAACCAGAATTTCGTTGAGCAGAAGACCAAAGCTTAACACAATTACCCGGAAATCAACTAATTTTGAATAAAATAGTTAGAGATTGGTAGACATACACCAATAAATCATGATTAACTCTAACGCATAAGCCAATATTATATCATGTTCTACTTAAAGTAGGGCTAGAACAAACAACCTGAATCAGGTTAAACCAGAGTCAAACTGTTTTAACTTGTAAGGATTTCTCATATCAAAACTCGACTCAAGTTCAATACAAGTAATTTTTTTAGCTCGAACTCAACTCAGTTAAAGTTTACAAACTGTTCAGCAGTTCAGCTCAGCTCGAATTTATTTATTTGGAAAACTCAAATAATTAATTCATTTTTAAAAAATAATGCACAATATTATATATAAATATAACATTGTTTATATATAAAATAATATTAATCATAAAAAGTTATTTATAAATATTTATATAAACTAGCTCATGAACATGACGAGTCAAACTATATCCAGCTCAAGTTCAATTCGTTTATTTAACAAATTCAATTTTCAGCTCAAGTTCAATTCATTTAGTTTACGAATCAAGTTTGTCTAATTTTGAAAATTGATTGCTTCATTGTCAACGGTTACTTAAAGTAACACACATCTACTATCTATATATCTATATATGAATAGAAGGGGTTGATGTTATTATCAAATTACCTAAATTTGTCAATGCATTCAACTTTTTTATGGTGTTATTACAAAAAAGCCTATTTCGTAAAATTTGCAATTGCCTTTGTTAGGGATAAATGAGTAAATGAACATCTCTTTTTGGATTTCAAAAAAAAAGTAATGATGATTGCTACCTAATTTACCGACGTAGACATCTATTTAGAAGGAAGGGGCTTCATGCACTGTGGCTAAATTTGTCATTTCACTTACTGCAACTCTTCATTTGCTGTTAGCCAGTTTAGAATTACCAAAACAACCAATCCCTTTTCAAATTCACAAACATGACATTAGGGCTAAAATTGTAAAACAACGTTCCCTAATAATTTAAAAAATTGGAAACCGCTTCTCTCATCTCTCTTCTACCACTTCCACTACTTCATCTCTCTCACACTTTTCTGAATCTTCATCTTCCATTTCCTTTCTTTTCTATAAAAACTTATTTCCCCTCTACCACTTCTACTTCTTCATCTCTCTCATACTTCTCGGCGAATCTTCATCTTCCATTTTTTTTTTTTTTGTATTATAACTTATTTACCCTCATTTTTGTTTGAGTTAACATTTTTAGTAACATATGCCTTTTGATTTCGAAAGTGAACATGCCTCTTATGGGTGCATGTTTATGGTGTTGTTTTTTTATATTTATTTTTGATCTCCAGTACTACTAAAAAACGACACCTTTTTATTGTTAGCTTAATGATTTATGTGTTCCATTTTTATAGTTACATGTTTCTGCTGGCACTTTGATTTTGTTGTCCGTTTTTGGAATGGTTTATGTGTTCCATTATTCTACAAAGTCAACTGTTGTTGGCTATTTGTTTTCTAAAGTGACAATGCCTCTTATGGGTGCATGTTCATGATATTGTTTACTTTTTCTATTTGTTTCCTCTAGCACAACTTAAAAATCACACATTTTTTTGTTCATTTTAATGGTTTATGTGTTCATACATTGCCTTTTATGTTTTTATTGTTCTGGAGAGTCAACTGTTGTTGGCGATTTGATTTCGAAAGTGAACATGCCTCTTATGACTGCATGTTCGTGTTGTTGTTTACTTTTTCTATTTTTTGTTACTTAAAAACCAAACCTTTTTTCATGTTAATATACTCTTGAAAATGAAAGATTTTTTATTGTTACATCTTTATGGTTGCACTTTGATGTTTTTGTTTGTTTCTAGAATTTTTTTCTCCGACCTTTTATATTCTACATTGTTGTGGACACTCAACTGTTGTTCGTTATTTGATTTCGAAAATGAACATGTCTCTTATGCGTGCATGTTCATGATGTTGTGTACTTTTTCTATTTGTTTTATCTTTCACTACTTAAAAGGAAATCATTTTTTTGTTACATTGTCCATTTACTCTTGAAAATGAACATGCCTCTTATGGTTGCATGTTCATGGTGTTATTTATTTATCTATCTACTATCTACAACACTACTAAAAAACGTCACCTTTTTATTGTTAGGTTAAAGATTTATGTGTTCCATTTTTATTGTTACATGTTTGTGTTGACTCTTTGATTTTGTTGTTCGCAAATGAGGATTTTCCCCCTATGCCTGTTATGTTTTTCATTGTTCTAGAGAGTTAATTGTTGTTGGCTATTTGTTTTCTAAAGTGAACATGCCTCTTATGGGTGCATGTTCATGATATTGTTCATGTTTTTAATAATGTATATTTTCCTTCTATTCTGTATTGAATTATAGTTGTCTATTTTGATTTTTCATTCATCAAGATTCCTTTTACGGTTGCATGTTGACGTTTTTTTTCGGATCTAGAATATTTTTGTCTTATGCTTGAAGTTTTTCTTCGTTTGTTGAATATTTTTCACTCATGTTAATATTAAAAACTTAACATTTTTACTTTGGCATTTTAATGTTCTTTGAGTACCGGAATGGTTGATGTTTTTGTTCGTTTATGGAATTCCCTCCACCCTTCCTTTTATGTTCTACATTGTTCTTGAGACTCAACTATTGTTTGCAATTTGTTTCTTTGTTATTTATGTCATTCAATCTTTACATATCAACACATTCAATAGAAACAGATTTCTGTGTTTTTTCGTATGAGTTTTAAGGTTTAATAATTAAAGAAAGTACTTATTTGTGTTCTTTGAATTTCTGTAAAATAGTCTGCTACATTATGTGCTTCACTCTCTGTATGTAAATTATTAACTTTAGTGTTGGTATCATATTGCTCCATGTGACCTTATTTTTCTTTATTTGTTTATTTTATGTTTTAGTCCCTAAAGCATATCTACATTCACTTAATCGGAGGGTTATTTGGACATTATTATCTTCATTGGATAGGTACTGTTAGTTGCTGTCATCTTTGTATTAATTTAATTATGTTGTTCTTCATTGGATGAGTTTGACTCTTTTCATATCAACATTCAACATAGAGTAATTTATAATAAATTTTGTATAATGTATTTTGGTTTTTAATATTTTTGTGAAGTTCTTTATAATATCAACTATTGCATTGTATGACTTTTGTGTGTACGTATTTCTATGGAATTCTTTATAATGTCAACTATTAGATTATATTTTTGTGTTGTACATATTAAAATATTGTTCATTATATAGTCAAGCTCTCTCCAATTTATGAAGTCTCTACATTATGGGTGGTTAACTTAGTAAGTCACCTTTGTATAAAAGACTTTCACATTTTATTTGACCCAAAATAACTGTTTATTTAAACTCCATATTTAACATTTCTGATATATATTCAATTATGTATATTTATCATTGATGAGAGTTGTTAATATCAACACAATGGTAATATCACGCCCGTTTGATACGATAAGGATTTGAACGACACAAAATACGTTTGGAAAATTGCAGTTAGAATCATTGATATATGACATGTCCAATTACCACCCAAATCTGGACATTTGGAAATGATTTTATTGGATTCTGAGGTAATATTTTATCATATTTAAATTTATATAGTTTTTAACTTTTTTCTGTTTTTTTTATTGTAGACATACTCTTTGCCTTCAATATAGGGAAAGAAGATACAGGTATCTGTTAGAAATGGTCAATTTAATGACTGGAGAGAACATTTAGTGTTGTATCATACATATGTGATACAAAATTTTCATGTCATGCACAACTACCTTCAATTTAAAGCATGTGATCACCTTTATCGTATACAATTTACTGCTGATACAATTGTAAAACAGAGAGACTTGTTTGGTATCCTTAGTTTTGAATATGATTTCAAAAAAAATGGAGACATTTTAGTTGGGATCATTCAGACTGATTTTTTAATAGATTAGGTCAAAATCATTAAAGATTAATATATTTACTTACTTAAATGTTGTTGTCTATTATTATTATAGTATAATATTTGTTATTTCTTTCTGAGGTAGACATAATTGGTGTTGTTGAATAAAAGTCCATTTTCCCCTAACTTTATTCTCAAAGATTTTAGGTAACATTTTTCCCATTTAATTTTATGTTTTCAACCTGAGATTGACATGTTTTTTTCTCCTTTGCTATTTTTTTGGAAGTGGTGATGTCATTACACGTACTCTTTGGCAATCAAATGCCATGCAATTTATCAATTATTGCAACACCCATCCAAACGGTCAACCAATCAGGATAATCTTAACACATGCTACAATCAAGAAAAGAAAAGGTTGTGATAGTTGTAGTACTTTTATTTTTAATCTGCCTAGAATATACATATTGTGTCTTATTCTCACTTTTTTATAGGTAATTAACTACCATGTGTTTTCAGTTCATGGTGTGGCTCAAAGCTTTTCATTGATGAAGAAATAAGAGACATTCATAAATATAAGAAAATGTACTATGCATATACTTTAATTTACTCATCTACCTATAGTCTTTTGTAATTATTAATATGACAGTGGTAAAGTTGTTATTGTAGTTTTCTTACTTTTGAGGATTCTGCAATTTCTGATGAAGGAAACCTGAAGTCGGATGGCAATGAATCCCTGCCATTCAAAACTGTGAGTCGATGCAACCTTTGTTTTTGCTAATTTCCAATGCAAAGGTAATTCATGTAATATCTTGCATACATTTAAATTTTTGGACTTTTGTGGTTAGTCTCTGTCTATTACTATTGACCATGATCCAGACCACCTTCAAGTCCTAACTCCAGCCATGAGGTTGTCGTCTAAATTAGTTTTGGACTTGGTTCAAAGCCCTTTATATAGTTCCAGTCAATTGTCATCTTCAAAGGTGACAAAACATTTCAAGATTGAGTGATATTTGATATTACTTTTTCCAGTTGTATATAACCACTTAGCTTACAACATTTTTTGGTGCATCACAAGTATGATGTATATGATACACTGACCTGAATTTATGTGACCTCATTTTTTGTTGACCTCATCTCCCTAACAAGGAAACAACTCTACCATGTTAGCAAGTGATACTTACAAACCCAAGTACTGAATCCTATATAAGTTTTGTATAACCTAATTGGGATCTTCAAGTGTCTGTTTTGACTAGGAAACTTCAAGTTGAATTTAATATTACAAAGTTGCACTACTTATACACATAACACATCTAATGTATTTATTCCCATTGTTAGGAAAGTTTTATCTATTTACCAATTATAACCGCAAATACTTATGTCAATATGTAACTGTTGACTGAATTTAGTAAACATTGTTTATGTGACATAAATAAACATTGTTTTCAAAATAAAAGTGTTTACCTAAATTTTACATACTATAATTTACATGTTGATGGATGTTAAAAATATTACCTAAATTTTACATACTATAATTTTCATTGCTAATTATATTACACACTAACAACCCATGTATTTATAGTATCGTTGCAAATGAAGTAAAAGTTTTATATATGTACTATTTTTCTTATACCATAAATTTAGTGTTTATCTAAATTTAACGTACTATAATTTTCATGTTAATGGATGTTAAAAATATTAGTGTACGAATTGTAGATAATGCCATTAATCAACTAAAAGTTATCATTTTTATACATTGTTTCATTGCTAATTATATTACACACTAACAACCCATGTATGTACAGTTTCATCGCAAATAAACAAAGTTTTATTTATGCACTGCTTTTCTTGCACCATAAGTTTCATTGCTAATTTTTAATTAATGCAGTTAACATTTTATTTTATTTTTTGTTGCAAATAAACTATCATTCCCTAAAAATAAAGATAATCTGTGATTGAATTACTAAACTTCCATTCATCTTTACCTTTTCAAATAATTTAACTACATTTTTTATAAATAACATGAAAATTTGAACATGAATTAGTAATGTTATCTCTTCATAAACTTTCACGTCCATATATTCTCTCCTGGAATACATTATCTGATGTTATTCATATCATCTCACCATTTAGGTAATACAAACATTACAGTCACGGAAGAAGGGTATCGTCATAAAACTCACTTTGCAAAGTAAGTATTGTATTTTGCTAATCTTAAGATAAAGCTAGAAGTGTACAACTCGATTATGTTGGTAAGAAATTTAGACCAGTCCGAAGGGTTATGTAATGGTACAAGGTTATTGGTTACTAAAATGGCTAATCATGTACTTGAGACAAACATAATGTCGGGAAAAAACATTGGAAATGTCACTTATATTCCTCGGTTAGAAATGTCACTTATATTCCTCGGTTAGAAATGTCACCATCTCAGTCTCCATGACCTTTCACGCTTATCAAAATACAATTCCCTATAATTGTGTCAAATGCTATAACAATCAATAAATCTCAAAGTCAATCATTAGAGTGTTGGGTTGTATTTACCTATACTAGTATTCAGTCATGGTCAATTATATGTAGTTATTTCAAGAGTACAAAACAAAAAAAGTTGAAGATATTGATACATGACATGGATGGTAAACCACTGAAAACTACAACAAATGTCGATTATAAAGAAGTTTTCCAAAATTTGTAACATATATTCTATCGGTTATTTTAAATTATGCTTAAATTATTTATTTCTAACTAATGTTTTTTTTTTCAAATAACATTCAATATCATCTCATTCTACAACAACTTTACATCAACATGCGGAGAAATACAAAACAACATTTATAAGGTGATCTTTCATCAAATTCTTATTAACAAAGATCATCTTATTTTGTAAATAAAATTATGCAACATACAGTATCGCCCGTGCGAATGCACGGGTCTCCTACTAGTTAGTGTCAAAACCAAAGTACATGTCGAAATATAAAGTGTCCAATAAATACTTTTAAGTGAAAAATGTATGGACTAACAATGTATGTGTTTTAAGTAATACAAATGAATGATCATTGACTTTTCAAAAAAGTAATACAATCATTCATGGTTAATCATCATTGATTCTTCAAAAAAGTAATACAAATGAATGATGTATACATAATTTTTTTACACAGAACATGCATAATATTTACCCCCGTACTTTAATCATGTGAGAACCAAACCAGAAGACAAACAAGAAATCCAATATGATGACAATGGCAGAAAATATGTGGAAAAGCCACTCCAATTTTTAACATGGGAAAACTACTCAGAATAAATAACAGGACAAGTTTGCACTATAAAATAGCTCATAGAAATACAGTCTTACTAGATATCACTAGGGAACAAAGTCATCACCATAATGGTGGAAAGCAACAAATAAAATCTTAAAGGGGATAATTAGCACAAACAAATGACATGACAGGTCAAAAAAAGCTCAATGGCAGAAATAACTTAGTAAAAATCTCAGGCAAAACAGGACAAGTTTGCATTGATAATCATCTACCACATGGAGCACAAAATTCTTCTCCCCCAAAAGTCAGAAAATATAAATTGCCCCCAAGTGTTCTGGTCTTCATGGTGCCACATAAATCAGAATGCTCCAAATCAAGAATTTCTGGCTTCCTAGTAGATGACTCACTCTTAAAGGAAACTGTTTTGTTTCCCAACAAGACAATGTGCACTTCTCCAATTGAGGATTCTTCAACCCAAATAACACATCTCGTTTGGTTAGCTCAGTCATGCATTTTTCGATCATGTGACAACCTTGTATACAATAACTCAATACCTTCATCTGGCTACACTACATGGACAACATAAATGGAACCTCTAGCGAGTATCCAAGTATTCCATATGAACAATCTATCATAATCATCATTAACAATATAGCCACAAAAACGAAATTCAACCGGATGTCTTGAACATGATTAACATGCTTGAGAGTATGTTTGGAACTATTAGACATCATTAAACTAACCTTTCCCATTCCAACACACTTTAGCACACCTACATGAGTCAATTTCTCATGACCAAAATCACCAGGAGCCAATCTTTGTTTATGTTCTCCGTTTTCATCTGTAGACAAAACTTTCGAGTATGCCCTTTTTTATCGCAATAGTTCTACTCAAGATTTAAACTTGTTTCTAGACTTATTTCTGCTCCGGTCATGATTGCTAGAAAACCATGTCTTCCTAGATATGACTAGGGTACAAAATCATCAACTAATAATGATGAAAAGCAACACAATAAAGTCTCAAATGGATAATTAGCACAGGCAAGAGAAGACAAACCCTAGATAAAATAGGTCAAAATAAAAAGCTCAATGACAGGAATAACATACTATCTCAGGCAAAACAGAACAAATTTGCACTGATAATCATCTTCATCTACCACATTGAGCACAGAATTCTTCCTCTGCAGTTTTATGTCTCACATCATATATTTCTAACATATTATATAAAACTAAAGCAAAATGGGGAAAGCCCATTCTAACCACCACCTTATCTTTTTTATAAAAAATTTCAATCAATAACTTAAGATAAAACATAAGATGATAATACAAGTGATATAGGCCAATTAAAGAGAACCAATATAATTACATAGTCTAAGACTATAGGATTAAGATAACGTGGATAAGTACCTGCACAAGTTTTTGCAATCTTTCCTCTCAAAATTGACTCTTCAACTGTTAATATTGCTCCGAATATGATTCCATAGCGCCAAAATCATTAGGGTTTAAACATCATTCCCCTATGCCCCTTTCAGTACTTACTGTTCTCTATCATTCATGATCCAAGTCAAGACTAAATTAAATACAGTAGCATGCTAATATTAAGGTTAAAATAAAACTCAAGAGTCAGAAGTCAAGTCAAAACAAACTGAAACGTCTGGAAGAATTAATTGACCAAGTAAGCTCTTGTCACGACAAACCTACCAGAACTAATTAGCTTTTACTTCTTATAGTGCTTGCTCCCTACCACAAGTAATATCTCCATTGTTTCAGAACAGTAACGATCAACCCCATGTAAGAATACAAGGACGGTTGATTCAACACCGAGACTCCGACCCGGAGTTTGAAGAGGTTCAACGTATACAACCTTACCCTAAGAGTAAAAAAACTATTTCCAAGATTTGAACTTGTTTTGCAAATGCAGCAAGGCACACCCTCAAGTAAAGATAGATGGAACAACTTTAAAAACAAAAATTGTCACTTGCATTTACAATGCAAATAATACTAGAGAAAATATCCAATAGGCAGCTTGCAAATTGCTTACATACATAACCAAGATAATGCAATAACTAGTTACTAGTCTAAGTTTCGGCCTTGCTGATATGAAATAAAAAGGAAATGGTGTAGAAAGGTCTTTCCACCAAACAAGGTTCCTTTGGGTAATGGGTGGCAAGGCAACATCATGATAAGAAAAACTGTCCTACTTATTCTATGACCAAGCAGAAATAGATAAAACATAAGTTTGAAACATATAGCGCCAAAGAAAGCTAAGCCGCTTTAGTGGGTGGCTAGTTCCTCACCACCACAACTTAATGAAACACTTGACTGTCCCTGCCACCTAACCACGACCACCGCGGCCCCTTCCTCTTCCACCATAGCCATAACCCCTTCCATAATAACCACCTCGAGCACGTCCGCCACGCCATGGACCACGGCCACCACCGCCACGGTGCCTTGAAAATTCACCAAATGTCTGTACCACAAATCAGCAAATGAACTGAGAAGTGAAAACATCATCCCCCAATATGAGGTCGAAACAATATATACATTACCTCAGTATCCATCTTAATTTGCTCAGAATATCTGATCCTTCCATTTTGAGAATCACGGTCAAGTGCGTTGGAAGAGAGTGAGTCAAAGAAATCATCCTTATTGTAGACAGGCTGTAGAAACCAAGAAAATCAGAGTCATAAATTTTGTAAACAAACATATATTTACATAAATATTCGACGGCATCAAGTTACATACAGAATGGTAAACCATTACCTTAGCATCCAATTTTAATACATAACCATCCCCATCATCTTGACTGCCATCTTCATCACTCACAATTTCTTCCCCATCTTTGTCTTTTGAATTTTGGCTTTTACCTAGATGACCCCACACTTCATCTTTGTTGAATTTCTCATTCATTGCCATGAAATCAAAGTCTTCAGTGAATCTTGCAACTGGGCGCATACCCTGCAAAACATCAATTCAAAATTTCAAAACCTGAAGTCC